TTACCCCTGGACTTAGCCCTGTCACAGTCTCCGAAGGCGCGCCCCAGCTGGAGGTGGGATGAGGTGGGGTGCATTCCCATGTGTCTGTTCCCAAGTAGGCCAATGACAAGCATGTTCCAATCACAGTGAAACTGCAAGGAAACTAAGACTCGTCACAAAGACTCGTCACAGACCCCATGAGACTCCGTACCGATCCTTCCAAAAATACCGTAATCCGCCGAGGATGGCATTTATGTGGGTTCTTCCCACCTTCGCTGGCGCCAAGTCGGGGAAGGGGAGGGGACCAGAACCCATCGACGAATCGGACGGCCTCCAATCTCCCCTCCACCAGACTCAGAAAGCTCTGCTCCTCACCACAGGCCTCTCATCGGAAGCTGAAGCAGTCAACGCGTCAACAGAGGTGAGAAGCCACCGCTGGCGGCGTAGGGGGGCGCGTTTGGGGTCCCGTTTGGCGCACCTGGGTGACCTGGTGGGCTTTGCTAGCTGCCAGCCGTTTCAGGTGGTGCGTGGGTGTTCACCTACCATCCTGGATGATGCTTCTCCGCCCATCGAAGCTGGCGTGATATCTTTTCCACCCATGACCATAATCCCTTCAATAACTTGTTCATCGATGGCCAAGAACCTAAATTGGATGCAAACCCCAAAGCATTCCGCTGTTGAGGAACTCTAGATCTGGTCTGTTGGGTGGTTCTCAAAAACTGATCACCTGAGGCGGGACGGATGACTCTTCAAATGGATCAATAAGTCCTGGAATGTGAGCTGACAACGCGCACCAACTACCACAGCACTCACAACAAAGAAATTGGCAGGCCCAACTAACAAACCTGTCGCCACAAATACAAACCCCTCCTCCATTCCTCATCCTCCTCATCCTCATCCTCATCATTCTCCTCCTTCTCCTCCTCCTCATCATCATCATCATCATCAACATCAACATCAACAAACATCAGGCCAAACTAATGCTGTTGCTTGATTCATCACTCCAAGAAGAGATGAACACAGCTCCAAAAACACGGGAAAGTGCAATCGTCCTCCAGGCCTCCACCAGCCAGGTGGCCAGGCTTCCCCCACGGAACGGACAAAATATGAATTTTGCCGCGGCCTCCCGCAGCTCATTGAATTCCAACGCTGGAGCACCGCCTGCGCCGCGCAGAGCAGGGAGATGGATGTGGCGGGGACGGTGGAATGATGGATCGGGCAGTCTCAATGGCCCATCAATGGATCAGGCAGTCCAGGGCAGCCTCCCTCCACCCCCCTTGTTGTCACTCAAGGCAAGCACAGGGAGTTCCTGAGAGGTAGAGCTGACAGGTTTTGGGTGGTCAGTGGTTGAAAGACAATTAGACACTTGCGTGGGTAACAGCCATACTGGCCCATATTGGAATCAGCAGAGGATCTATTCCACGGTCTATTGCTTCATGAAGCAGCTGGTTTGTGCAGCTCACCAGGGAATTCATGCACGCAGGGTCCACAACTCCGACATACCTGACCTGAACCTCTGTTAGCCAAAAAGATTAAGCAAATCAAGAAATCCAGTCAGTCAACTCATCCTGAATATTCTTGGATGTTAATTGTGAATCCTACTTCTCGTACAAAAAGAGCCACTATCCATGGAAAACAACATGATGTCACTATCCCAACCTTCTACATCCCACCCGGTCCCAGCCCCATGCTTTTGCCACATGCTTTTGCCACACAGCTGCCGCCGCCGTTCATAGAGTGCCATCGACACCCGCTGTGGCAGGGGCACCTGACCCAGCGGACACGGCGCGTCCGGCGGCGCGTTGGACGCCACCAGCGCCGTCGGCGAGGTGGTCGAGGACGTGAGGTGGTCGAGGCGCCAAGGAGGACGGTCCAGCTGAAGGAGGTGGTAGCCGTGATGCTGCAAGGTCACCAGGAAGTCGGGAAGTGTCACCTGTGGGACCGCACGGGTCAGGTCTGCAGACCTGGTGTCTGGTGACGTTTCCAGAAGTCGCTGCGGAAAATCGATGGCTGCACCGGTGGGTGTTTCTTTGTTGCCTCCGATTGACACGAAGGTCTGAAACGAAACTTGCGGTGGTCTGCCACATTCTGTTCAGGAATAAGAACACAATACACTACACTATAGGGCTGAATAAATATATGGTGTAGTCTGTCTATGTGTCTATATCTCAAGTTTCGCTCAAGGAAGGGTGCAAAAAAGAGTTTCTGTTGGAGGGTTCTCTATGAACACACGTTTCTTGGTATTCTGGGTATCCGAGCTTGGGTTGTGCCCAGCGCTAGCCTTCCATGAACACCTCACGTTCGATTGGGAGGTCACAACCTGAGGGCCCAGGAGGTTTTCCCACCATGTCGGTCGAAGGCATTTTCTCGATCGCTTCGGGTGGGTGCCCCTCGGATTTCCTCTGTTCGTTCCACGATGTGGTCAAAAGTGAGGTGAACAAATCAACCACCCTGCTCTCTTGGAGCACAGACTTGTTGGCAAATCTGCTCAACAAAAATCACTTGCTGTCCGAGCCGTCGGCTGCCGTCGCGTCTACTCCGCTGCCGTCGGCTGCTTCAATCGAACAAAGCCATCCAACCTGCAAAGGCGCAACCACCAGGGACACACCCCAGTCTGGCCGCCGTTGTAGCTGCGAGATGCGGATCTCCTGTGGGATTTCTAGGGAGGCCTACATCCAAAGGAATAGTCACAAAGGTTTTGAGTAATCATCCTCCCTAAAGTTCTTGTAAGTGGAAGTACCATGATGGCTGACCCGCTCCTTGTTCCGCCGCGCCATGCCCATGCCCCCGAGCACCACCACGCACGTCAGGCCGCAGCCCAGCAGCCCAGCCGAGCGCAGCACCGCACCCACCACGCCGGGCGCCGGGGACGCCAGGACCACGCAGTCCTGGTCGAGCTCCTCGGGCGCGGAGTCTGGGGAGAAAACACCAGCTAAGGGCAGTTGGAGTTGGAGGGGTGAAGCGAATCAATGAGACTAGGACTGAGACTTCGAAGGCGTTCGTACCCATGTCTTCCACCCGAATGCTGGAAACAGCAACAGGTCCCACCACCACTTCACCCATTCATCATCTCAGTGGCAGAGCAAAAGCTATCCCAGCTCTGGTCAAAGAGCTGCCGGAAGTACGCTCGCTTCGAAGAAGCACCCTCCTCTGGAACCTGCAAGGAGTCACCCAAGAACGAGACCGACGAAGTTTGGGCCGCCTATTCTTGTTGAGAAGTCAAAGTCAATTGAGAAGTCAATGGCACTGGCACTCAGTTCATGAATCATGACATGAATCCCCACTTGACATGCCAAATATGATATATCGACTGTCCTTCCAAACGATTATTGAAGCCACAAATCAATATTTGTCGCATCAAACTTCGAGGCTCAGTGCGTTCCTCAAGAGAAGCCTTTGAAGTGGATGATCATGCAGTACCAAAACCAGATGAACCACCTAAGATCCATGCCCCCAACAAAAAGCAACTCAATGGCGACTCTAGACCTGCATCTCAACCACTTCCAGTTGTCCAAATCGGCCGCTTTAGCGCCTGGATTTCCGGCGGGGCAGCCCGCAGGCGGGTTCCGCAAGGCATCACTGTGCTCGACCATGGCCGCGGCGCAGCAAAGGTGGCACAGGTGGCACACAGCCACAGCCGCCACATTAACATGGAGATGGGAAATGAACAAAGGCTGAAGAAGGTCCACTGGCTAGATCATTCAACACTCAGTTGTCATGCAAGGAATCTGACCAATGTCATCTCGGGCTCTAGGTCGCACCTTGTTATGACATGGCAACCTAAAGAGCTTACAAACCATGAACCTTGATCTACTGGTATGGATGTACAGCAAAAGCCACAACCAAATCGTCCATCAACATACCTCAAGCTCTTCAGAAGAGATTAATTACATCAATATACATATATAATATATATAATATTATAGCTAATTATATATAATATTATAGCTAATTATATATATATATGTACATCTGCCATCATCTGCCCAATGTACGTTGGACCTTGCCACCAGGTAAGTGACAACAATTGTACAAGCGTGATCAGGCCTCTACTAGATGCTCAACTGGAAGATCTTTGCCGTTCGACGCTGGGCCAACCCGAAACCGCTCCGCAAAGAAACCGCTGGCGAGCTCCGCCCAGTGAGACTCTCGGCCTTTCAGCTTCATGTACTTCTTCAAGAGCACCGACAAGCGTGCGATCTTCAAGGAGTCCACCTCGGACAGACCCGAAGTGGCACGGGAGGAGGACAAGCGTGGAGTGGCCCGAAGCGTCGGGGAAGTGGCACTGAGCAGCACTGCGGAGAAGGAGCGGGTTTTACATGGTTTTTTGGTCCCCGAAACGAGGCATTCATGTCGGACGAACAAATAACCTTCTGACGTCTGATTAGGTATCATTGTGCATGTTCGGAAAATGGAAGAATTCAGGAATCACACCAGCATGAGGGTAGGATCATCCCTTAGCCGTCCACAAACGTATATTTGCTCTGAGATCGAAGAGTTCCCCATTCCCAAACCAGCAGGTCTTGCTAAGGTCTTTCTAGGTCTCTATAGGAGTCCGTTTCATGTCCTTGTATGGGATCTCATGGGTATGTCTCAGACTCAGGCAAGAGGGCACCCTCCACAGAACTGTTTGAACTATTGCTCGACTTTTGTCTAGAAAGAGGACACTCCCATCCATCAATGGCCAAGCTGTTGAAAAACAAAACCCTACCTCAGAATGTCCCCCTATGTACAAGGCTATGGCATGGTGCATCTCTGGTGGTCATCGACTTTGGCATGTCTCATCTTTGGGGGCGAGGATGGGTATCATGTCGACAGGTACACCTAAGGAACTGGCGGAAGTGAAACAAAGCTTGGCTATGTTCCGATTTTTCAGCATGGAACCTCTGTTTTGTTCGGGTCGTTTTGGATGTTTAGGTCCTTGGAGCCGGTTGATCCGGTTCGATGCGTCCCAACCCTCGGAGCCCGCGCACTGCGAAAGTCCACAGCAGCCTGGCGTTTGGTCCAAGCAGATGATTCGAGGCGGCCATAAACAGGGTGGGATAAGTGACAAAGCACACAAAGATCCTGGAAGAAAGAGGAAGAAACTGTCTACACTTCACCGAAACCAAATGTATCCAATTGTCCGATTCGTCCTTCGCTAGGATGTGTTCGCATGGTTTGGGTGGGCCGGTGTGGGCACCAATCAAATGGACCATGAAAACCACGACTGAAACTCCCACAAACCATTCGTTCAAACCAAAGCAATGCGGCGCCCTAGCTGCTAACCCAAGGATTGTGGAATCTCCTCCGTGGATCAACGAGGGCGAACCAGTGGCGAACCGGGTAGCCGCCCTGCTCTTCAGGTCGGCGGCAAAGCTTGACGAAGTTCGCCCACCTGGTTGAAACAGTTCTGCAGTTGACCTGCTCTGTCTACAACTTGGAAGCACAGGAGGGCACTTTTTGTCCACTGAAGTAAAGGCGCAAGTCTCAAAGGTGGATCTCAGCCTTTCCTGATACTTCATGCCTACCCAGCATATTTCAGTCGAGGTAGCTGATCATCAGGCAGCTTGTACCACCTTTGCATCATCGAGCAACAAATGTGAATCACTCGATACCACATCGCTTGATCCACCACCTGCGTGTCTTCCAAGGTCCCTGCGGCCGGCCAAATGCAGTCCGGCTGCGAGTCGTAGACGATGGTCAAGCAGCTTCCACAGCTCCGGCAGAAGTGCCGCTGCCCGTGACCCGTGGTGCGCAGTAAGGCCAACGTGGAGGGCTCGGAGCTTCGCCAGGTGAAGCGCTCCAAGGAGGCCGGGACCCAGGTTTGAGCGACGGAGCCTGAGAGGCGTCGACACAACTTGCAGTAGCAGTGCTGCAACTCCCCAGGCAGCAGCAAGGCTTCAAAGCTACAGCTCCCACAGGCACAGGCGCCCTTCACAAGGCCAGTGCGCCGGGACACTCCACAAAGCGCTGAAGGCTGCGCATGCCACCAGCGGACTGCAGAGGTCTGGTGCCAGTCTTCAAAGGAGCTTTGCCATTCTAAGGCTAGGCTATCTGGGATGGATTCATCATCTACAGACCCCAAGCAACAGTAAGAGCGGCCCGAATCGATCGCTTCTGTGCCCAACTTGGTATAGCAATGGCCACACATGAATCGCTTCACCTGCCCCAAAACCTTGCAGGAGTCTGGGTGGACCTGAAGACCAGCAGCACGCCAGTCGGGTGACTCCACCGAAAGATATGCCGCGAAGGAACTGGAATGGAAATGTCTGCAACTGGGGCAGTGGCATCTGATGGGCTTCTCTCCTCTGGCAACCTGAAATTGAATCTTACATCTCCCACAATGGCAGCGAGCCGCCACCGGCAGCGAGCCGCTCCGTCCCTCCCAACCGCTCTCTGTCGTTTCGGTCAATGGTGATCGAAAACTGGTGTCATACTCGCGGAAGCGTTGCTGCAGAAACTGCCGGATCTGCTCCTCTGAAACAGTTGGGTTGGCTGCTAGGAGGTCTCGGACCAGGGCTTCCATGGGTGAGTCAGGCAATGCCTGCCGGAAAGCCCGCTTCGTAGATGGGTGTGGCTCCAAACCCTGGTACCTACCCCAAAGAAGGCCCTTGAAAAGGGGGCTAGCTGCTACCCCGAGAATGGCACCACAGGTTTTGATCCACATCCATACTACTATGTGACGCCAGGTTATGATCTCATGATAATCCTTTGCTTGAGATCGTTCGAATGCATCTTGCCATGGTATCACAGTATTGCCTTTTTCTTCCTCAAGGAGGTCACTTTGCCTCTTGCAGTTCCATCTTGATCGACCAACCTTCGCTGTAGGCCCCAAATGCCAACACGGCCACATCAACCCATCCAGCGTCGTTTTCACCGCGGTTCCCAATCCATTTCCCGAGGGTGGCCACGTGGTATCAAGTCTTCCATTGATTTTGCTTCGGTGTGGTTTCACCCGGCCCCCAAAAGCCACGACCCTCTGTCCCCGTACTTGGGCAGTGCTAGGGCAGAGCATGAGAGAAGGAAGCCACTCTCCTCTAGACTCCCCTGCCAGGATGGTTTTACATCTCCATACGGGGGCTTTCATTAAATCAACAGTCATGCACATTGCTATACATAGATATCATGCACCAACTTTTCCACGCATGGCAGACATAAAAAGAAAAAAATTGTTGACACACAAGGGGCCGAGGCTTCTAGCCATGCCTTGGATGCAAACTTGAATCCCGCAGTCTGCCAATGGACATCACACCGTATAGGTGGACATCACACCAGCACTATCAATTCGGCTCCAATGGACCGCACGGCCCATCATCGAACCTCCCTCTGAGTCTCCCAAACACCTTCAACCAACTATCCCAGCCACCGTCTGGCCATGTGGTGCCTGCGCAGCCAGCTGTTGTGCCCGAGCTTGTGCGGGTGAGGTGGCGTTGATTTGCGGGCGCTGGGCCTCGGTGGCGTTGATCTTGCTGCGCTTTGGAGCTGTACTGTCTTACCGATCGCTGGATCTTTGGGAAGAATTGGAGTTGGAAGGACGGTGCATAACTAAAACAGCAAGGTTGTCAAAGCCCTTCTGTTCTTTTGAAGAGATGTTCAAACAGATTCCAGTTCCGCACCACCAGGATATATATATATATATATGTCCATTTCGTTGCGTTTGATCCCCATTTCGTTTTATTTGATCCCCCACAGCCATCTGAGCATCAAGGGGGTGGTGCCATGTCAGACACTGCCAGCGATGTGCGAAAGAAGTTTTTTGCGTCCTTAAGGGACCAAAATTCAGAGGTGACTCCTAGCTCCAGCGAGGTGTCTTTGTCGCTGGCAAAGCTTAGAGAATTTCAAGGACACTCGTTATCCAGTTCTTCATTTAAACAACCTCGAGAACCTCCACGGAAAAGGCCAAACTATGACAACAGACTGCGAACGATGTATGCAAATCCTGTGGAAAGGAGAAAGCACCTTCGTTTTCAATTGGTTATGCTTCTGATGGTGGTAGCAAGCTTTGGATGGTGATAATATAAACATGTTTAAACCCATAATTGATCTGAGGCATTGTGACAATGGAAAAGATCGCTCAAGAGTAGATGATGTGATGAGGCGACCTTGCATCTGCGGCAAGGGCTGCTTCAAGAAGCAACAGCTAGATGAAGTGCTGGAGTTCCTAGATGCTTTCTGGTCGCTTGAGAAGCCCAATCAAGATAGATTTGTCAGACCCTTACTTTCAAGTTCAGAGTATAAGTTCTTGTGCTGTTGAGTAGCCTGAAGTTTCAGATGTCTGCGCTCAGATTCTTTTCTGCATGGGTGGCACGACACCTGGCAATCGTCAATGGCGATTCTGCGGGAAGAAGGTTTCAAGGCACTGCATGGCCTGTTTGATGGGCATCAGACCACAGCGATTCCAAACTGCTTCATCTGGGCATTTAGACAAAAGATATCGATGCTATGGGGGAGCAACTCAGCAATAAACCATTGGTTGAATCAGGAAAGGTGTGCAAGCTAGCTGGTGACTTTTGACACTTAGGCGAACAAAAGGACTCCTTTGAAGTACATGAAGCTGGACGCCTTTTTCCTTAAGGTCTACATTGATCAAGGCGGCATGCTGCCCACAAAGTTTCTCAGCTTGATACAATGCGGTGTGCCTGTGTGGGATTCTTTTGGGTTGGGCTCACTCAGGTTTCAAAGAGCTGCCAGGCTTCGAGAATCCATGAAGGGTTCATCGAATCAGTATTCAAAGGTGGTGGTGAACTTTGGTCATCGCAGCCATGCAGAAGAAGATGGAGTCTTGGCAGTGTGAAGTGTGAGAATCCTCAGCCAGGTGTTGAGGTTGCTTGGCTGACCTTTTAGGCGAGTCAGATGCCTCCATTGATGATGGGGCCGAAATCATTGTGCCAAAGGAGGGTATAGAATCGGACATTGAATTGAAACTTCACATATTGGGCCACAAAATGCTGTGGACACAGACCCTTGGCATTTTGATGTGATGTGAAAGTGGATGTTCTTGGAACCAAACGTTTCGTGAGTCAACTCTCATCTGAGACTGGTGGACACGAATTGGGCCAAAGACCCCTCTTTGCTCCCAACACGTTTCTTACCACCTGGGAACCTGCGCATGCTCTTCTCTCAAGTCCCAATGAAGGTTTCGACTCTAGCTTGCACTAAGTTCAGTTCACTGGTTCCAAGGTTGGGGTATCAGCATTGTGTCAAGTGTGGCTGAGGTACCAGCACTTTGTCCGAAGATATAAAATGAAATGGGCAGCAATCTTGCGGTTCACCAGCCCGAGTAGTTTTCCAGCCTGTGATGATTGCTCAGCCTACAAGGACGCATTTCGTGACTGCAAGGAAACCTGACCACAAGAGTTTAAGTTCATTTTAGGAATGCCCAACTCTGTTTGAAGCACTTGTGAATAGTTGTGCTGAGGATGCCCTTGACAAGTTCGAGGTAGCAAAACAATACAAGGAACATATACAGGCTGTCAGTGAAGATAGGCACCTTGAATCGTGGTTCCAGGCAAGGCTTCTCTTGAGCACAGGAGACTGCTTAATAAGCAGGTAGCATTCGGTTTGGTCAGGGTGCATCTCCCTTGACTGATGCTGATGCTTGCCTCTTCATTCATGCTGACTCTTGTATGCAATGCAGCGTTGCATGCAGCAAGGGCGCACTTCAGTGGACTGACTTGTCTGTTGACTCAGGATGGCATGGATCAAAGCAAGTGGGCTTTACCTCGATGTCGAGGGGGGATCCAAACAAAAACGCTGGCAAAGTTCGACCGCCCTCGCACTAAGATTGAAGGAATCTGGTGCCACAATGTGATCATGACACTCCATGTCATAGATGTGCGCGTGGCAGGGGGCGCGTCGATGGTGGCAGAATGCTTGAGCAGAGACCTTGAGAAGGTCGTTCGCATTTGTCGAGAGCTTGGAAAGGAGCCACCACGGCGCATCTTGTTATGGGTGTCTTTGCTCGCATTCAGCTAGCATGTTTGAAGACACAATAAGACACATTAAACCAGCGGAATGAAGCGTTTGTGTTTATTTGATTGAGTCAGAGGTGGACAATACAGTGAAGGAGTGCAAGAACAATACCTTCATGAAGTTCTTGGCATGGTTACTATTGAGTAAGGGCTTGGAGATGACAGGCATTTGCATGAGCCGGGTTGGGCACACACATTGTGCCATTGGAGCCTTGTCTGGACTGCAGTCATTCAGAACTAGAACTGGCTCACATGTTGTTTTGGTTTCACTCTCATGCAGCCAAGACCAACTTTACGGAGTGATCAGCAGGGCCACTCGATGGATAGATGTTCTAGCAGATGATGATGATGTCCAAGAGAGCCTTGCCCTTGCCGTTTACCATGTGCATGTGCACAGGTTTAAGTGAATGATAACTGGATCGTCTGAGGAAACTACAAGATCTTGTTTGCAAATTGAACCTTAGCAAATGGTTGGGCACCGCCAAGATCGAAGTGGATGTTGTTCGAAGCGTGCGGCCATGGAAGCAATGGTTACACAACTGCTCTGGTGTACAACATGTTGTCATGGCATAGGTCCTAGGTTCTCACACTTCTGAACTAAGGTTGGAGAGGGCGCCAGTAACATTGTCAGGAGGACTGCGAGACGATTGCACTGGGGCCCACCATTTCCTCTTTGTGAGGAGACGAGGCTGGTTTGGGTTTTGCATGGCTCTTGATGCTTGAACACCTGGCCCTGTCAGACCTTCCACCTGGGACCACAATTGTGGTGGAGGGACCAGGGCGCAATGACTGGGCAGAACACCCTTGCGATGTCATTGTTCTGGTGAAACGCTTTGCCAGCGATGCGAATCTCAGTCAGGCGACCTGTTGTTTGTGGAACCAGAATGTTTACACCAAGGTGTGGTGTTGTGCTGTGTTTATCTAAGGCTCCAATGGTGGTCTTTCCCTACAATTTCATGCCCTTAGTGGGCCCAATTCCAACAGATGCTCGACCACTCAAGGTCTTCGAAGAAGATCGAAGAAAGAAACTGTTGGCCTTAGCAGACTATTTGCTTCGGAACAATCCAGTCGAAAGCACCTATAGGACTGTCAAATTTTTGCTCAAGATTGCAAGCCGAGAGCATGAAGCAGAAGAGCTTCCTGAGCTCCCTTGGATTTCCAGCCCGGCTCGGTCTGATCTTGACAGGCTATCAGAGTTTGATGTGAACTCGTGCCCTGCATTCCGTCGATTGCTACCTCAAATGAGGTTTTCAGCACGCCTAGCAAGGAACAGGTAGCCGGAAAAAATAGTTCAACCAATCCCAACAATGTTTCCATTGTTTTATGGCTAATATGCAATCACCCCTGCAACAGTTGTTTGGAGATAAACTTTGAACATGACGCCAGTGTCCACGGCTCAAGGTGAGCCATATGATTGGGCCTCCAGGTTGCACACCCTGCCCCAAGCGATCTACTATGACCCCACATGGATCCAGGACCAAAACCAAACCCTTTTTTGGTGTCTAATGTTTGAGCCTTGTTGTTTTTAGGAGACCGGAGTTGAAACGCAAAATGGTGGAACCCTCAGTCCCTCAAGGTTATGAGAAATTGGAGTTGGCTGCCTTTGCCAAGGCATCCATGAACTTGGAATTGGATGAATGGCCACATGATGCTCAAGACCGTTCCCCTTACATCCAGACACCTGCGAAGGCTAGGAACGCAGCAGCAAGGTCTCTGTTTGTGTCCCTTCCTTGACAGGTCTCGCCACACTACGTTCCAGACACTTTCGAAGAGCAGGACTTGTTGGGTCTCCTGGGGGTTGTCATGATTGGGACTTAGTAGTTGTCCTGTGTCAGGATCGAAAGAGGGCATCTACGCCGAAGGACAACATTGGTTGCACCAATACCTGGGTCATATGAGAAAGCTTTGTGAGGACTACATGGAACGCACTACTACCTTCCCATCCACTCAGCGGGACTCGCAGGAGGTTTCAATCTAGTAAGTTTTAAACTGGTATGTGCTCAACTCCATGTCAGGAAAAGAGTCAGCGTGGCCTACCGGCCAAGCCAAACTCATGGCATGAATCCTCATTTCCAGTCCACGATGTCACTTGCCCGCACACTATGTTGAACCCAAGCTTGGAATGCAACACGGATCAAATAGATCATCGTACATGTTTGGAAATTGAGGCTGGCCATGCTTCATCCGCTTCTGGCGCACAGGAGGGTGATCGACTGTCTCTACATAAACCTAAAACCAACTAGAGTGCGGTTCCTGTCTGAAGGACAAAGAATGCAAAGACCTGCGCATCGAGTTAGAGACTTTGAAGGTAAGGAATCCTCAGACTCACAGCCCTCCCGCATGAAACGCTTGC